TCTCCTTCTTCTCTCTCTCTCTCTCTCTCCCCCTTTCTCTTATTCCTTTTGAACCTTTAAATGTAAATTATAGTTTGGAATTATGCATTTCGTTTTATTCTCGACGATTAATAAGATCCAAAAATTATTGTCGATAAAAAAAAAGGAAAAAAAATTCCAGAAAGTTATATTATTCAAAAGATTAATTTCTTATGAATTTTGCTTTTAGTAATTTTATTCATTCTGGTTAATTAATCAGTTAATTGATTGTTAGCTGAATTTTTTAAATGATCGAAATCATTAGCTCTTCAAGAGGAATTCAAAACACTGATAGCTTAAGTTCTCTTAATATACCATTTCAAAGTTTGCAATATGTAGTAGTGATATGATAATAATTTTTGATTTTTAATAAGCTAAAAATCATCCTTAATTCTTTTTGTAATGACCTTTGATTTATGGTTTTTGAAATATTTTTTTTTTCGTTTGCTAATTCTTTTACAGTTTTGTCAAAAAATAACATCTAATTAACGAAATGAGGGAAGTTTTTTGAAAAAAAAGCAAATATTTGAGTTATTTACAAAATTTACTATTAAATACTAATAGCAATGCACCTAACAAATAATTGTGTAAAGTTTTAAACAAAAAAAAGTTACCCATTCAATTAATAAATGATAGAAGAATGGTTGACATTTAAATTTTACACTAAATTTACTATATTGGAAATATAATTAAATTGAAATTAATACATTTAAAATGGAAAAAAAGTCGTTCATTTATTCCTCTAATCTTTGATTATTATAATTTAATTCAAATTTCATAAAACGAAAAATGAAATTTCGCATTTAAAAAAAATGCAACGAATTTTAAGAAGCAAGAAATTACAAAATTCAATTCTTTTATAACAAATTTGTTTAAGAAATATTGCCATATCTTTGTTCTTTTTTAATATTTCATATAAATATTTGATAAAATTTAATTCATAGGATAATTTGAATGAAATATGAAGCAAAAATAATTAAATGTATTGGAATTAAAATTGAGTAAACGAAATATAATTTTAAATGATCAGTTTTAGTTCGACAATACTGAATATCTATTATGAATATTGATAATAACTATTATTAAATATATGTTTTCATCTAATAAAGTGTAAGAAATTACAAAATTTAATTTTTCTTTTTTTTGAAATAAATAAAATTAGTTCGACATAATAAAGATCATACCAGTTTTTTGGATTAATATTTTATTTGATTTTCTTAATAAAAGATCACGCCAATTTTCTATATAATGAAATAATTAAATAATAAATATATGATAAAATATAAAGTAAAATATATATTTTTATATAATAAAGTAGCTATTGTGTAACAAATATTTATATAACCTTCATTATTTGGATATTCCTTCATGTATCATTAAAGTAGTAACGATCAGATAACTAAGCTGAAGTAATAAAGTAATAAAAAGTAGTAAAATAATTAAAATTATATGTTAAAATTAAAACAAAGGTCATATAATTAGAGAAAGGTAATAAAGTAATAAGGATTATACTAGTAATAAGGTAATAAAGCATGAAAGATCATGTGGTTCCACTATGTTCAATTAAATTTACTAATTTTAAACTTTGCACAAATATATTTTTTTCATTAAAAATTACAATTTCTTGCAAAATTATAATTAATGCAGATATATTAAAAATAAAAGAAAAATTACGATTTTTTATCAATTTGATTAACTTTTGACTTTTGTGTTTGTAATGATTAATTTTTTTTAATAAAATTTTCAGATAGATATGTTAGTAATAAAATAATAAAGTAAGAAAAATCGTTGGTAACATTTTCATATATAAGTATAAATATCTTATTGCTAATTTTTTATTTAACTATACAAGTATGATTAAAGGCAATTATAATTCATAAAATAAAAAGTCTGAAAAGAATATATTTATTAATTAAATTTCAATTCATCTTTTTTTCTAATTTGTTATTAAAATTTCAATTATTTTCTCGAAAAAAGAACACAAAATTTTATTTTTTTTCTTTCCTTTACAAAATACTTTTATCATTTCTATCAATTTACTCAATAAAATATAAGAAAAAAAAAAGATAAACTAACAAATTATCATCAACAGCAACAACATATTCCATAAACATCCATAAGCCAAATAAACGTGATACCATCATTATCAGTATCTTATCAAATTGTCCAAAATTCATGATTATTTCAAAATCAAAATTAAACACTTTTAGCACAAACTTTTACGAATGATTGCTTGGCTATTATATATTTAGTTATGTAACAATAGGCCAGACAAATATTGAAGACATTTTCAATCGTCTAAAACTTAACTAAGGCGTGGCTTTTCCCTATCTTCGCTATAAATACTACTACTACTACTACTACTAATAGTAGTAGTAATAGTAGTTAGTAGTAATACTCTAATAGATGAATATTGGTATGTGAAGGATGGAAATATCATCACAAATTGCCATATATATTCCCCGCCTCTTC